ATCAAGGTATGCAATCAAATCGACGGCATATGCAAAGGATCATGCTTGGCCCCCATACTCTCAGATTTGTTCCTGGCGGTGGGGGACAGGACACTACACTAGAAGTTTCAAAAATCCAACGTGGTTAAGTGCTTCAGATACGTATACGACTATAGATACGTAGACCCTTTTCGTGAATCGGCTGTTCTCTTTCCGGGAAGCCTTCATTCTTCCAAGTTCTTTCAATAAACTTCAGTCGATAGTTGGCGCTTGTACTGTGCACTTATTTTTTGTCTCCTCCCTAACTTCGTTTTCCACAGCGATTGCAGCGCACGTTTTCTCAGTCATGAAAAAACAACTAGCCCAACACCTCACTTTGCTAATACTACTTGATCACTTGGTAACAACTAACGGGATAAATTAATCTGCATCTCGTGAATGTGAAATACTTGTACGGCGTACCAAATGCCACTTTCGTTCCAAGAATTGGTCGGTGACTGCAATTTCAATTACTACGATCATCTTCTGTTACAGTGTATAATAAATGTCTAAATGCTGCTGTATATTCATTTCTTCTACAATTTAGGTTGCCATGAAAGCAATGCACACGACTTGCTCGAGTTTTCGGACCTGATTCAAGCCGCGGTCGCGCTTTTGGATGGGTGACAAAATGTGCATTAAGAATGTATAACGGGAAATGACCTTGAAGATACATAAAATTTAGTAGTAATCTTTTGTCATTTCAGTAAAAGTAACAAATTTATTTTTAGACTGCCGTAGCGCTAAGAAATGAACAGCATACGAATCGTGTGCTACTCGTTGTTTAGCGCTGCTAGAATGCAATATCGATCAAACCACATGCTCCAGTCTTTTGCTTTCACAAATTTATTTTTCGGGTACCAGTTCTCACAAAGATCCCCCGTGCCACCGCTCCTAAATCACGTTAGATTAAAACCACTAACATTTATGTATCGCGAGGTTGCTTTGTGCGCGACGCGATTGCGGTCTACGACTCAGTGACGCGCTGTACGTAGTTTAATGCGGACAGCTGTGCACTGAGTAACAAACTACACCTTAAATATTCATCTTCGATCAATAAAAATGGTAGGTTATTTGCTTCTGTGCCTGATGGCCAAATAATTGAGCATGATTTATTCGAAGAAGGAAGCACTGTTAGTGACTAATAAGGCTCGTAAGATTTATGTGCGCCTTTTTTTTTCACCGAAGTGCTCAGTTTAAGGGTTCCATTTTAACACATGTGACAAATCCATCAGTGTTAGCAACCGTTTTAATTTAGAGGAACGAAGGTTTTAATGGGATTGTGAACAATAAAGCAGCTATGGCCGGCAAAGCAGGAGCATTTCACGCATGAGAAGAGAATCTTTTCGTTGCAATTTCATAATAAATACGCAGCATAAAGCAAATTAAAGCGAGAGGATTACCAATGTTCCTAATTAGCACCTGAAGACTGTGCGTTAAAGGCAAACAGAGTTTTTAATGAACGACGGGACGAAACTTTGCTGGATACTACGGCATGAAAGATTATTCACTATGTACATAATATAACTACTGCTGAATTTCACGCCTCAATACAATGCAGTGCATACGAAAGACGACTCTATGAGAAGCTTCAGTGTGATTCCGGCGAGAATTAGTGCAATAATATGCACACAATAACATGCACACATCATTCTCCTGGAATATATTATAAACAATACTTTATCGCAATCTATTCCTTCAAACTAGAGGGCTGTTTGAAAAAGTGCCCGCTTACGTGGCTGAAAGCGAATAATAAATATGTCCTAGCTTTAATGTAGATAAATTTTTTATAACCTAGGTATCTCTGGGAGTGCAAGAGCAAGGACGAATACGGTGCGTCACAGTTATAAAAAGAAATGCCTCATTTCGCATGCACCAGAAGACACTGCGGGAGATGTGGGAGTTCCTAATGACACAAGTTATATATAAAAAAAGAAGAAACACGGGCTAAAGTTTGTTAACCTTCCCTGATAAATCAACGATGCAGTTTCTCAACTCTTGTATTGCCGGAAACCGAGGCCCATCGACGAAAAGATTCTCTGCCATGGCATGAATAGCGAGCGTACCACTCCTTCAAGCTTATGCAAGGTGTACGTTTACGTGCGCCGACTTAAAACACAAACTAGGAAATGGTGTCCTTACTAGTAAAAAAAACGATATGCCCGACAACAAGAAATGTAATAAAAAGTGGGAAATCCACGTTACTGGACCTCCAAAAACAACAACAAAAATTGTCCTGATTGTGAGTTACATAATTTCGGAAGGAGAAAATTGAGAAAAGTAATGTTTCTTGTTTGTATGGGTGAAAAATGGGGAATACCCCGCGCTCTAAGAAAAATAAAAGAGTTTCTGCTAATATCTTTTGTCAGTGCTGACTTGCCACGTATATGACTTCCTTTGGAGAGACACGTTAACTCTCTTTTGGGTCTTGCGACTCTACCACGAGAGTATAAGGATCTTTCAAGAGAAATGACATGTCTTTTCAAGAGTCATACACATGAAATGTCAGCATTACCAAAAAAGTCAAAAGCTCTTTTTTTTTTAATTGAAACTGTATGTCGGAGACACGTTAGGCATTTAAACAGTTATATAACAAATAGTGAGAACGGGGAGTTGGTTCAAATCGAGGCCAGTTAGCATTAAATTGTACGCTGTGAAAGCATGATGCTAGAAATTACGCTCCGCCATATAAGCATGGAGCTAAGCATTATCACTCCTTCCGACTTTACGCCGTTATCTGGCTCCTGTAAATCTCATTGCGTTCTAGCTTGATCGACTTTTGAGTTCTTCAGTGCGGGGCTAAAGCAGCCATAATTATTTGTAAAATCTAACAGCACGCCTACAATTAACCAACAAGGTAGAACATGTGCAGGCGGCAGAACTTGACTAATATACGTGGGAAAAGGCGACCACCATGGCGCAAAAAAAACACTTAAAAGAGTGGTGTTGGCTGATACAAGGCAAAGGCAAAAACATAAAGCCTACGCAAGAACATACGTGACAGACAAGCGTACATGCGTGCACACATATGGACGAACACTCTCAAATGACACTTGATGTTCACGCACTTCTCGCATGCTGTCGGGCATCTCTCAGTAAAGTCCCAAACCAAGTAGCCCCATATTTAGCTAGTTTTTAAGTGCGCATTAAAGGTGTTTCTTTTCTTTTTAAAAACTTAAGTGACCAGAAACCAGGGCCAAGAAACCAAGACAAGTTTAATTTATAGAGCCCCTTGGTTTGGGTACACATCACAGCACAAAGCACAATAAGAGTTGCTGGGATGACCATCAACAACTCTTCACGAGATACGCCATTGAATGAACAGAAATACAACAAAAGAGCATACACACGCAAGACACACTGTAAGCAACTTAAATTGAAAATGTAAGGAACAGAGACAAAGCAGCCAGCTATTCGTATGCAGGCAGCGATTAGAAGTACTTTTTAGTTTAGTTTATTAAGTGCTTGAGAGATCATGGCGTGTGCAAGAGCCCGTAACAACACAGTCATTAGCAGTAGTGTAGCTTTCTTTTAGGTATTTATTAAAGGCCAGTTAATCATCCAAAAACGCTAGATTTAGCTTCGTAAGCAATTCCCTTGTCACACCTAATAAACCTTCGATGTAACTAGAACGTAGACATCCTATACAAAATAAAAGAATGGAATAAGAAAATTAAGTAGGTCGTGCATACCTTGAGCGCAAATTGATTCCTGAAGCAAAAAAAAAAAAAAGAAAAATAAGTAGCTTTAACTGTACAACGCGCAAACTGTTCACCAGATCAGCTTCAGACATTTTCTGACACATGATTACGTCGATTCAGAAGAAAGAAGTATTAGCTCTGAATCTCGTCTTCAGCTCTGGACACACCATGACATCTCGCGTTTACTTTTGTTTAGCAGATGTTTAGTAAAACGGTTTAGCACGTCGCTCGTGGCAGTGGCGAAAAAGGTGCTTGAGGTGCTTTGCAAAGCCTGCTAAAGCAGCAGCTTTATAGGATGTACGTACGGGACCGCGCGAAAGCTGCTCTGCGGCAGGTCCGTGAAAAATTTGAACGTGAGGAGTGTTGTGTTTACCGCCAATCACAACTTTTGCCGATGCCACAAGCGAGCAGAGAGGAGGTCTGCCGGTCATTCCGCTTTAGCGGGCGTAGGGGTTGCTTGGAGAAAGGGTTAGGGGAGGGGGGGTTGCACGTCAAGTTTAACCTGTTGAACTTTGAGTTGGCGTTTATGAGGGCCCTTCGCCGCTGTTCAACCCCCGGCTGCCGCGGGACGCTGTCTGCCGGGAGAACATCGGTGGCAGGAATTTTCTTCTCGTCGGGACGCATTGACATAGGCGTCGCCACCCCGGATTGTGGTAACGTCGTTTCGAGAAGCGAAGGTGGTGGCTGGGGTGGAATCGGCGTCTGCCTCCTGGGGAGCGAAACACATAGCAGAAAGAGAAGGGGATAGAGAGAAGACAGGATAGAAGAGAACCGGCCACCCATGCACCTCAGCGCACCCTTACAGAGAGAAGCTCAGATAAACACGGCACGTTTTGAAGACTGCAGACAGACTGCACACGCAAACGGAGACAACGAAACAATGCAAAGAAAGAACGAAAACAGAAACTGGCTGTGCAGGTGAAGCCCGGTCACAAATGCAATGCATTACTGGCGTTGCGGTTGCCATGCGCTAAGCATGTTAGACCAAGTCACTTACATCAAGCGAAACTAGTAGGCGATTTAATTGCGTTTCAGCCATTTAGAAGCAAAAGCTCAGTTATAGTCTTTCTTTTAGGAACAGATGTGCCTAAACGCGCACATAACTGCCGTTCCACAATTATTTGGTGGAGCGCGAAAAACAAAGTGAGGCATTTGTTTTAATATTCAAATATTAAAAATACGAACACGCCGAAGAATAAAACGAGAAAGTAAGGGAAATATAAAGAAGAAGGGCATCCAAAGTTTCACTTCACCGCCGGCTCGAGGATGCCCAGCTCTTACCTTGTTTCATCTTGACAAACGGCTTCAAGGACGCAGGCTGCGTACTGAAGTGTTTTTTGAAGCATATCTAACGGAACGTCGCCGTGCTGGAGGTGCGTCGACAGGTCTCGCAACCTAATAGATCAGAGAAGAAGGAAAGAAGGCGAGAAGCGAATAGCTTCACTAGGACCAATCGGCGTTTGAAAAAGACACCCCTAAACTCCTCAACAAACCCGTCTATTCGCTAAAGAACAAAAATTTCGCAACTAAATTACATTTAATAAAAGAAACGCAGCTTTAATTGTGTATCATACCCCCCTCCCCCCTTTTCCTCGACACTATCAATGGAGACAAAATGGTTAACGCATACTTAGCGTTCAATGGGAAGCTGCATGTCAAAAACAACTGATTACGTGAAGAATGTCAAACACCACAGCAGATAGATTTGAAGGAATTCACTGCGTCACACACTGAGCAAAACATTACTTGGAAGACGGGGCGCAAGATTACAACCGAGAAAAAAACAAGAGACAGGAAGAACCCCCCGCCCTTTTCCCCCCCAATTGCAACCTTGCGCTACGTCTTTCAAGTAATGATCAATGCACTGACTGGCCCAACATAACTTACTGTTGAGCTAAACATGACCCAATGTAGACATGACCCCTCAACTTCTCAAGCCGCGAGATACGTTTTAAAGAAGGCACGCGAGCTTCCTCGTCTATTTTCGAGATGGATACTTCGCAATAGTCTTTTAAATAATGTTCTGAAATTCTTAAATCAAAGCGCTTAGAAAAGGCATTCGTCGATAACCGATTTTTGTATACCATGTCACATCATCGTTCATGATTCGTGAACCGACATCTGTGCCAAAAAAAAAAGAAAAAATGTAACCATAAATATACCTAATACTTATAATCTGCATATAAAACACTTTTTTTCTTTCGTTTTTTTTTTCTAGAAACCAACATACCATTTAATTTTGCTCTGAGGCACTGCCGGCCATGTCAAGCTGCATTATAGATGAAAAACATGTTGACCAGGAAAAAAAGAAACATACTAAAAAGGTATATATTGTTTCGTATAAATATTTGGAGAAGTAGGCGATATCAGACGTTTCAGAAAAGTTTTGGGCTTCAGCAGCAGATGCTTGAGGCTTGACGTGCGGTCTTCGATGCGCATTGAACCTGACAAACACTGCACGGCAAAGCTTTAAAGTGTCGTTTGTTTATTTTTCTCCCTTCTTATACCTGCTGAGGCGTTGTGATAACGCTTCGGACTAGTCAAGGCGTTTCTTTATTGGCTTGTTCACAAGGCGAGCATTCTGCTACAGAAAATACAGCAATATTGGAACATGTAAGCGATCAGAATAATATAGACCCTTTTATTGCGAGAAAAACAAGATAGCAATACATTTAGTTCGCCTTAAATCAGGTCTGTGAAAGTATGGTTCGACGCACCTGCAGACCGCCGAATAGGTCAATTAACGAAGGGTGATGACTGAAACGAAGAAGAGGATATTGCTCTAGACATGCCTTAATGAATTTATGGGCCGTTTCATATGCTTCCTTTTTGTTAATACAATGCTTGCCTTGTACACTATACGACCCCGATGATAGGTTACATTAAAATACAAAGGTAAGCGGACACAGAAACTTGGTTTGAACAGACCCCTTCGTTAATCCAGCGGAAGCATCAGATATATGCAGAGGAGGCACACCATCGGTTCAGTCGTTGTCGGAGAGGGGAAAGGGCTCCGACCAAATAAAGGTCCGTGGGTCAACGCGGTATATATGCGATTGATTCGGGTTCCGCGGTGTTAGGCGAGGGAACACGGGCGCACTGTCACCACCACGGGATGAGGATAGATTGGCCGACCTGTTTGCGGCTTTGTCGCAGGCCTCCAGCGTGTCGACAGGCGGCAGCGGCCGGGCGTCGCCCAGTGCTCCGCGGTTCTTGCCGTTGCGGCGGTCGCCGGCCTGCGCGTCGGCATCGTCCTCGCTTGGGCCTTCGTCGCACTGCTCGCCAGCCTTCTCGCGCACAACCGTGGCCACGCGAGGCTGGAAGCGACGCACCACCACGGTACCCGGCTCTGCACATTGGAATATAAACAAAACAAAAATTAAATTCTGGGGTTTTGAGGAGGAGGAAGGGAAGAAATGAAAGGCAGTGAGGTCAACCAGACGCACGTCCGGTTTGCTATCCTGCACTGGGGGAAGGGGTGAGGGGATTAAGGAGAAGAGAGAGAGAAGTGAAGGGCAACGTGTGTGTAGATGTGACCTTGTCCATTGCACGCTTATAAGCGGTCGCGTAGTCCGGTCGTCTTTAGAAAACTTAGAAATGCCCGCGTCGCTTTGCTGGCCAGCGACGCGTAGAGCCATGAGCCAAGTATCTTCTCTTCGGAAAAAGGTCTACTGTCTAGTGTCTCTAACGTTTCGCGTAGCAAGTTGCGTTCGCTCCTCGTCTATTTTGAAACTGTGATTTGATTATGGGGCTCGCCACGGTGGGGGAACTGCGGATTCATTTTGACCACTCGGGATTTCTTGAAATCAAAGTGCACGGGTGTTTTTTTTTTTTGCTTTTAGTCCCTGTCGAAATGCGGTCGCCGTGCGTGGGAAGCACCTTAGCGTCTCCGAACGTAGCAGCGCAACACCCGTGATGCACTAAATGGGCTGGCCTCGCCTCGTCTTCTCTGGGAGTAGGAAGAGAGAAATAACAAACAAGGCTCCAACACTGACTCACTGCAACGAGATTGAATAATCTTTGTTTTTGTAGTCTTTTGCTTTCCCCGGTGAAAATGTGTAACTGGGAATCCTACTGATTTTAAGTGGTATTAACTGGTATCAGCTGGTCCCAATTGGGAACTAAGTGGCCCCCAGATGATTCCAGTTGCAACTGGTTCCAGTTAGACACTGGTACCACTTGCAACTCAACTGGTCTCAGTTGGGAACTAACTGGTCCCAGTTGTGTCCTAAATACAAATGCTACCAGTTTTTTCTGGTTGTACGACTCTGTACAGTAAGAACAGAAAAAATTGAACTAAATGTATACGGCGCACCACTGCTGCGCTTGAGCGAATCGGCTTTATCTAAACTTTTTTTTTGTCCTACTCATAGAAGGCTACTGGATTGGTAAAAAAAAAAAAACAGATGAAATTCAATGATCCGCGCAGCACTGATATATACAATGAGATCTAACAGACAATAATGCCAAGGAAAGTAGGGGAACTTATTAGACCGAATCGTAACGTAAACGTGAATAAAGAAGAGTGGGTGAAAAGATAACTTGCCGTGAGCAGAAACTGAACCTGCGACCTTTGAATAACGCATTCGATGCTCCACCATTGAGCTACCACGGCGGCTATCCTCCCAGTCACTTTATTGGATATATATGAATATTTAAACGTGGGACAACCGCTATGTCGTGTCTCTTCTCAAGTACGTATGGCCCATTGGAAGAACCATATATATATATATATATATATATATATATATATATATATATATATTTGCTTTAACTGAATGTGGGCTTCTTAGCATGAAATAGGCCTGCTTCAATATACGCAATGCAACTGTTACTGATCTGTTGTATAACTCCCCTATGCGACGCCTGCTCTGACATTTAGAGTACTCGAACACAACTGCAAAAAAAAAAAATCACAGCATATCCACAGAGTGAATGATGATGAGTACGGCGAAGTGGCCTTCAGCCTGTCCGTGCGTTCATTCTTGCTTCCGTCTGTCCGCGCGACCATCTGTGCGTCCGTCCGTTCACCCGTCCGTCCGTCCGCGCGTCCATCTATCCGTCCTTCCATCTGCTAGACTGTCTGTCCGTCCGTCCATGCGTCCGTCTGTACGCCCATCTAGTGAACACTCCATGTACCACCATCTCGCATCCCCTGTGGCACATACCCGCTCGAGTGGGTATGTGCCAACCGTATCACGCCGACGTACAGCGGACATTGTTCAACCCTACGGAGCTTCGCTCCTAAAAAATGATGTTTCAGCAGAAAACATCCATCTTGTAATATTTAGTCGACATTTGCCAGCCCCAGTATATAGACATGATTCATAATTTAGCTAACGAAAGGCCACATTAGCCAGTGAAGAGAGATGATAGTGTGCAGCTGACTATATGGCAAATGAAGTCCCTTTAGGCAGACGCTCTGGGAGACTGCACTGCATTTGTACGCCTCGGGGAATCAGCCGATAGTGTGCTCGGCTGCTGGCCTGAAAGCCACGAGTTCGATTCCGGTCGCGATCGTCGAATTCCGATGGAGGCGAAACGATAGAAGCCCGTGTTCTGTGCAGTGTCAGTGCACGTTAAAGAACACCGAATGGAAGAAATTTCAGGAGCCTCCCACTACGCGGCGTCTCTCATAATAATATAATGGTTTTTGTACGTAAAAGCCTAGATAATATTATTACATTACGTACTGCCTTCGGACTCGATCGCTATCATCGGTCAGATAAGGGCGAAGAAAGACCTAATCTTGAAAAAAAAAAGCCCGACTCGGCAAAGTGCCGCGCATAATTTGCAAGCGTTCACCCTGAATACACCGTGCTCGAGTTCCAAGTCACCTCCTTTTATCATTCCACATTCACACGCACCGCCAGAGCGTATCGGCGGGCAACGAGGCGACATTCATATGGGACCGATTCTCAACGCGATTGCGGCGTCAGCACGTTTGTTCACGCTTTGTGACCACCATTCTACACTTCAAGAAGTAGAGGAGGAAAATGGATATCTAGATTCCTCTTTTAGAGGAGTGACTAACCTGTCACATACATTGCACCAATTTGGGAGTAACTGCGAAGGTGTATCCGTGCTCTCGGGGTTACTCCTCAAAGGGGCAACAGTTATTTTGGGTAAAATAAAATTCCGGTTTCGGTTGATTTAACCAGCCTCTCCAAGTGCTGTAGTATTTGATTAGATGTACAATAGATGTGCAAGCAACACACTCAGGAAATAAATTTCGCAAAATTGGCAGTCATGCAGTATGCGAGACACTGCACCACACCACGAAACGGCACCACGTGACAGGAAACAGCCTTGTGTAGGCACCGATGGGTCGTTTGCACACGCCGCGAACATGTCTGCAGTTACTCCAAAAACGGGCGCTTTACTCCACCTGGAGGAAAGTTTGAAGTTTGAGGTTTATCCATAAGCGAAAACATACAAAATTCATTTATCAAGTGGTTGAATGGGATTGATTGATTGATATGTGGGGTTTAACGTCCCAAAACCACCATATTGATACGAGTAGTTTACTTATTAAACTTTATGCGATGCACAGAGCTCGGCGAACAAAATGGCGTTAGTTCATCAACAACCAGCCACCGTCATCGTCTTTCTCTTTCATGCAGCAAAGCTACGGCGGCTGTTCTGTATCATAACCCCCCGGCGGTAGAAGCACCGTCTCGGTGCTTGAGCTACTTGCATGCTGTGGAAGGAGGGTGATAAGGCTTGAGTCGAGCTATGTGCACGATGTCCCTCGAAGCTGACGATGATGACGCTGTATTGGCTGGAACGATCGCATATGTAACGCCGGTCATTTGAAGAACGACGCGATATGGTCTAGTGTAGCGTGACAGCAGTTTTTGAGAAAGACCTACACGCCGAGTGGGGGACAAGAAAAGGACAAGGGAACTCGGTGAAAAGTGCATGTTTCGATGATGGGAATCGTAGAGCTGTCTTTGATGCTCCTGTGAGGCCTGCAGATGGCTGCGGGCGAGTTGGCATGCGTGGTCGGCTCACGCGATGGCTTCACCATCATATTCAGTGACCGAAGGCAGCAAGGTGTCAAATGGTAGGGCGGGATCTCGGCCGTATGGAAGATAGTATGGCGAATAACCGGCAGTGTCGTAACGTGACCAATTATATGTGATCGTCACAAATGGCAAATGAACGTCCCAGTCCTGGTGGTCGGCCGCTACATATTTAGAAAGCATGTCAGCTATGGTCCGGTTGAGACGCTCCTCAAGACCGTTTGTTTGCGGATGGTACGAAGCGGCAAACTTGTGCTTGGCAGAGCAAGAGCGCAGGATTTCGTCAATGACAGCTGACAGTAAGGTCCGGCCCCGGTCAGTGAGGAGTTGGCGTGGAGCTCCGTGTACTAAAATAATATCGTATACCAGAAAGTTCACCACATCGGTTGCGCAGCTCGTCGGAAGTGCTCGTGTGATAGCGTACCGTGTCGCATAGTCAGTGGCGACAGAAATCCATTTGCTGCCTGAGCTGGACATCGGGAATGGGCCAAGAAGGTCGAGGTTAACTCGAAAAAAATGTTCTGTGGGAATGTCAATCGGCTGAAGGAATCCAGCTGGTAGGGAAGATGGATTTTTGCGGCGCTGGCAGGTCTCACAAGCGGCGACGTAGCATAGAACAGAGCGGGCAAGACCAGGCCGAAAGAAACGACGACGTACACTGTCGTATGTGCGACAAACGCCCAAGTGGCACGCCAAAAAAGCGTCATGAAGTTGGTCGAGGACAGTCGCACGAAGATGTGCTGGTATGACGGGGAGTAAGCCAAGTCCATATGGATCGAGGTTACGGCGATAAAGGATCCGGTTTTTGACCAGGAACATTTTCACCTTCGCCAATAATGTTACGAGTAATTTATTTATTAAACTATATGCGATGCACAGAGCTCAGCAAACAAGATGGCGCCAGTTCATCAACAACCAGCAACCGTCATCGTTTTCCTCGTTCATGCAACAAGGCTGCGGCGGCTGTTCTGTATCAATATGATTATGAGAGACGCCGTAGCGGAGGGCTCCAGAAATTTCGACCACTTGGGGTTCTTTAACGTGCACCCGAATCTGAGCACAACGGGCCTACAACATTTTCATCTCCATCGGAAATGCAGCCGCCGCAGCCGGGATTCGATCCCGCGACCTGCGGGTCAGTATACCTTATAGCCACTAGACCCCCGCGGCGGGGCTGGTTGTATGGGAAGGGGTGATGAAAGGGAAACTGAATGCCTGACAGAGCACCTACCTGACAGAGTCCTGGCCACAATAATGCACAACGCTCAGTATTGATTGATTTGTGGGGTTTAACGTCCCAAAACCACCTTATGATTATGAGAGA